GCGTTGACTAAACGAGCCTGGATGTCCACGTAACAAGCCTAAGAGAAAGAACAAGACAAATGAAAAGGCAAGAAAAGAAGAGAAAGGTGCAAGGGGTGCGGGGGGTGGGCAGGGTGTGCATTGACTAAACGAGCCTGGATGTCCACTTAAAAAGCCTGAGAGAAAGAACAAGACAAACGAAAAGGCCAGAAAAGAAGAGGAAGGTGCAAGGGGGCGTGGGGGTTTGGGCTGGTGGGGGGTCTTGCGAATTCTCGCGCTTGGGGTGTGCGCTGGCTGGCCCGGAGGCACTGGCAGAAGAAGCCGTCATCGGCGCCCCTAAAAACCTCTAGAAAACGAAGAAAGACCTAGAAAACGAAAAGCGACAGCAGGAAAGAAAAAACAAACAGACATGTGAATACTTAGCCGCGTGACATGTCGTGGACATGTGAATACCTAGCCGCATGCCCCTAACATGTGGTCGTGACCATGTGACTACTTAGCCGCATGGAGACTTCCATACTGGAAGTTTGATCTCAGTAAGCCCTGCGGCATGTGATCAGCTGTTTCAATGGCGGAGCAGTGGATCAAGTAGGGGTACGAGGAAAGGATCACGTGAAGGACGAGGGATCAGGAAGGATCACCCTTAAGGGTATGTGCACATGCTGCGCCCCTGGTCGGGGATCACACCACAGACCTCAGTGGGACCCTGTGGCGATACACACTTAGATTGATGCTCGCAAGAGCTAAAACAGTTGATGAAGTTCCACTTTACTGCAACTAGACCTTTACACGCAGTTAGACCTTGGCTGAGGGAACGGAAGTCCGGAAAACAGAATGGCTTAACAGCACTCATTAGCCGCTTAGTGCAAAACACCGTAGTGGACAGCTTGAAAGTTACTTACATTTCGAATGCAGGTACGTCAGAGTGGCCGACTCTGATGTCACCAGATCAAATGGGCGTCTTCGTTGGTAGCGGCCCCAAATGATCTGCCGCTACCCCCTGCTTGGAAAGGTGGTGAATTACGCAATGCAGCTTCCTTAGAAACAGGTGTGGACACACTTGGATGGTTGCTCGCAAGAGCTAGGTTCAAAATGAAGTCCCACTTTAGCGATTACATTACCCGTTGCATTGTAGACCTTGACTTGCAAACTGAAAGGTGAATGAGCCCGCTCCAACTGTATTGTTTAGCAAGGGTGAGACGGAGAGAGTTGAAAAAGTTGAAAAAATGCAGGTACGTGAGTCAGGCGTCCCTGTCCCATGTCACAGGAATTTCGTGGTGTCTTCGTTGGATGCCGACCACGCAAATTCCCGGCATCCCCCTGCTGGAAGAATGGTGGTGAAACATGGGTATGGAGAGGCCTTAGAGACAGGTGGTGACACACACAAAAGGCCGTGATCGGCGCTCCCTGTGATGGATTGGGCATGGTATTATGGGGGAACAAAGGGTGGCCGGAACACGCAGCTGGTCTTTTTCAAGTACTTGCTGACATCGGTGAAGACTTGCAAAGTAATAGCAATACCAGGAGCCCTTAGTAGCGTCCCAACGCCTCGTAGTACGGCCAAGAGCCTGCAGTGGTATGGTCCTTGCCTGTGGTAGCAAAGCCAGGAGCCCCTAGTAGCGCCCTGTATGACCCAAAACCCTATCGGCGCGCTCTTGTTGGCTTCGCGGATGGGGGGAAGAGAAATGGTGGTGGTGTCTGCCCGGAGGCATGACAAAAGCCGTAACCGGCGCCCTTTTGACTGAAAAAGCCTCGTCAGAACTCCGAATCCCAAGCTTGGGCGCGGGGGCGGGGGCCTTGTGGGGTTGGTGGTGGTGGTGGTGTCTGCCCCGAGGGCGTGACAAAAGCCATAACCGGCGCTCGCTTGACTGAAAAAGCCTCGTCCGAGCTCCTCTGCTGAATCCCAAGCTTGCAAGCTAATAGCAATACTAGGAGCCCTTATCTCGCTCTCTTCCGGCCTGTGAATACTTAGCCGTATGACATGTACATGTGAATACTTAGCGGCGTGCGAGAATCCTGACTGGAGTTCGATCTCAGTAAGCCCTGCGGCATAGTATCAGTGGTATCGTGCATAACAGTCGATCAGGGGGGTTGCAGAACGAAGTCCCAGTGCAGAGACGAAGCAATCAGGGTGGGTCCCCCAGGATCTGGGTCTGTGCGCATGCTGCGACCCTCGACGGGGATCACACCACAGCCCTCAGTGGGACTCTGTGGCGACACACACTTGGATGGTTGCTCGCAAGAGCTAGGTTCAAAATGAAGTCCCACTTTAGCGATTACATTGTAGACCTTGACTTGCAAACTGAAAGGTGAATGAGCCCGCTCCAACTGTATTGTTTAACAAGGGTGAGACGGAGAGAGTTGAAAAAGTTGGAAAAATGCAGGTACGTGAGTCAGGCATCCCTGA